AACCCCAAAACCCTGTACCCTAAACCCTAACCACCAAAACCCTAAACCCTCTACCCTAAACATGATAGCCTAAACACCCACTGTCAAAGACCATGAACCCTATAGCCCGAGCTAGGACATAGCGAAGTGCGAAACTACGCAAAACACGTCGCAAGACCTGAACTCTACAGCATCCCTGGAGCACGGTTTAGGGTGTAGGGTTTAGGGGATCAGAAACTTTATGAGAATAATTTAGGTGCCTTAATCGGCCTTACAAAATTAGAACAGGGTTGGGGGGTCTTCGGGTTTAGGGGTCTTCGGGTTTAGGGGTCTTAGGGTTTAGGGTCTTAGGGTTTAGGGGTCTTAGGGGTTTAGGGGTTTAAGGTTTAGGGTTTAGGGTCTACAGAAGGGGGGAGGGTTGTTCTAAGAGGCGACTAGAAAGGAATCACATGACCTTTCATCCAGGCTTCTGCGCAAAACCCCAAGCTGAAAACCAACGACCGAAGGTTTTGAGACTCCGACATCCCTTAGCCGAGAAATCTAGGGCTTCAGTTAAGGGAAACTACAGGTGGGGAGCTTAGGGTATATAGGGCTTCTATAAGGCTTCCATAAGGTATATAGACCTTCTATAAGGCTCCTGTAACGGTAACTACCCACCTGAAAATGTCCTTGATTCAGGGCTTGGGTTTAGGAGGGGGTGGGCCTTCATAGTTGAGGGCGTGTCCCTTCATGACCGGGGGGTGCACCTTGGGCCCTAAACCCTAAACCCTTAACGCCAAACTTGGGACATCTTAGGGATTCCTCTGTCTTCACAGGTCTGTTCCTTAGGGGAGCTTCGCGAGTTCCTACGAAGCCTAAGTTCAGGGTTTCTGGATTTAAGGCTTTGGGGGTTTAGGGTTTAGGGGTTTAGTTGCGGATTAGGGGTTCAAGGGTTTAGGGATGAACGCTACATCCTAGACCCCACACTCCAACCCCGAACCCTTAATGCGAATCCCTACATTCCTCAGTTCAAAAGGTTTAGCCCCTTATAATCTCTAAACCCTGAGGCCTAAACTCGAAATCTCAATAGAACCCTTACAGGAAACCTTCTAGAAACCGTCGGTTTGAGGGTCAAAGTCTAGGACGTTTTAAGGCGGGTAGTTACCGTTAGAGGAGCCTTATAGTAGGGTTTAGGGTTTAGGGTTTAGGGTTTAGGGTTTAGGGTTTAGGGTAGGAGCCTTATAGAAAGTCTATTTACCGTACAGAAGCCTTATGGGTAGTTCTCTAAATTAGGGTCCCTTTGGGGGTCCTTTTTCTAAGGGTGCCGTACTATATTGGGGACCTAAAAGGGGACCCTAATTTAGCAAACTACCCTTATAGAAGCCCTATGTACCCTAAACTCCCCACCTGTAGTTTCCTTTAACAAAGCACCTACACCCTAAACCCTAAACCCTAAACCCCTAAACCCTAAACCCTAAACCGCACCCTGAGATCTCCGGGTGAAGATCAGCTTAAGGGACCATCCCGGCGCTGCGGCTCTCGAAGCGGACCAACGTCGCCTCTTTGAGACTCTGCTCATAGTGTAGGGGTTTAGGGGTTTAGGGGTTTAGGGTTTAGGGTTTAGGGTTTAGGGTTTAGTGGTGTTATGCGGCTTGTAGTATAAGGGCCTTATAATACTCCTTAGTGTGTCTTAAGGGGTTTTGAGCTTTAAGGGGTTTTGATGTGGCTTTCTTCATATGGGGTTTTGTACTATACGGTTTTAAAGCTCGGTGAGCTTTTACATGGGTTTTACAGCGCTTTGTTTAAAGATTTTATAGGCTCTAATGCTAGGGACTGCATAGCTAGAGTGGGATGACTTAGCAATTCCCAAGTCTGCTTACCTTCGTCCTCCCTAAGTTTTCCAAAAAAGTTCCCTACTAAGTACCCCCGGCGCCCTGAACTACCCGCCCGTATGGGCTTTTTTAATACGCCAAACCCTACCCTAAACCCTAAGAAAGATGGAGACCTAGAGAACCCTACTGAAAGACTCAGACTTAGCAAGCAAGGCTAGAAGCAAAGTCTATAGGTTTGGGTTTTAGGGTTTAGGGGTTTAGGGTTTAGGATTTAGAGGTTTAGGGTTTAGGGTTTAGGGTTTAGGGTTTAGGGTTGAGGGTTGAGGGGTTTAGGGTTTAGGATACCTTGCTTAGGGACTGAGTATCATCCCAACAATAACCCTTCTTACGAAGTCCCATGAGCTTTTGAGCAATCGGGAACCCTGGACTTATCCTTTCGAAGTGCAGGCCCTCGGGTTTGTGTATTTTAGGATCCGGTTCCGGTTTGTATTCATGAAACCCTACGCCCCTAAACCCCTAAACCCCTAAACCCTTAACTCCAAAGCCCCTAAACCCCTAAACCTTTCACCCCAAAGCCCCTGAACCCCTTAAGCCCCTAAAACCCTAAACCCTACACCCCTAAACCCAGAAACCCTAAACCCCCAAACCCTAAACCCCTAAACCCTAAATTGAAACCCTAAACCCCTAAACCCTAAACGGCTTAGGGGTTTCGGGGTTTACCCTCTTAGGAGATCCTTTGGGTCTTTAGCATGGATGTACTAGAGGGGCCTCAATTAGAATAGGGTTCCTTTAAAAGGGTTACTATAAGGGTTATTATAAGGGCTCTGGAAGGGTATAGTATAGGGGCCTTATTAATTAGAATAGGGTTTTGGGGGGTCCATTCAACTATAAGTATAATCAGGAACCCCCCCACAAAAAAAAGTACAATAAGCAGTTATTTAAGCTCCTAGATTTAATCCTAAGCCCTAAAACCCTAAACCCTCAACCCTAAACCCAAGCCCTCAACCCAATTTTTCTAAACCCTCAACCCTAAACCCTAAACCCAAAGCCCTCAAGGGGTTCCGAACCCTAGGCCACCACCTAAACAGGAGCAATGAACGGCTGCCTGAGTGCTCTGAGAACCCAGAGAGCCCAACAGGCCTTCATTCACTAACGAATACTTAGGGGCTGAGTACCCGAGCCCAAAAAGGGTTAACCTTTTGAGTTATAGTAGGATTATATAAGCCCCAACAGGTTAAAGGTTACCTACTCAGCCCTACGATTTTTAAACTTCAAAGATAAGATGAGGCCCCTTATAACTTAAGGTATATTCCGTTTATGCAGCTTAATACGTGCCTCGCGAATTTTCGCGACGAATGCTGCTCGCTGGGTCAGGCTTTCGCCGCCGTAGATTTCCATGACTGAAACCACTGCCACAAGCCAAGCAGCCGACCGCCTGTTCAGCCGGCGACCCATCTTCGATGTCCGACATGTTACAAAATCTCCAGCTTCGTCCGTGTCCACGTTCTGCATGCCACGTTGCTTCTTGTATGCCTAAGGATAGTCTCAAATCTCACGGCACAATTTAGATCTCGCCGGCAGGCAGCAGCACTATTCGTCCTGCCGCCCGTGCTTTACATGAGCTGCTTTGCATCTGTTGCCAGGCAAGCATGCTTTCGCACCTCCACACCTTCTGCCTCAGCGCTTTTGGAGCGAACCCGTTGGCGAGGAGGAGCAGCTATAGATGTTGAGAACAGAAGATGCCTCCGCAAACTCGAGTTTCTGTGCAGTCCTGCAAGTACGGTAGGTTGGTCCCTAGAGTCCCCGGCGTCCCCGTCCTGGCGTTCCCTGCGTCCCCGGCGTCCCGAGCGTCCCGGGCCCCAGGAGCACATGTAATCTTATTGCCTGTGACCCCAAACCCTACACAATACTAGGCTATGACCCCTCAATTAGAGGGTAGAACCCCAAAAAAGGTAGGTTTTGGGATCCCCAGGTAAGGGGTAGTGGGCTTTTTGGGTAGGCTGTTTTCTAGTGTGTTGCACCCTTGAGGGTTTAGGGTTAACCCTTGAGCCTCTAAGGCTAAGCATAGGACCTAAGAATCCCAAACCCTAAACCCTAGAGTTTGGAGGCCAGGGTTATAGAAATTTGGGTTTGGGGTTGTGTTCAGTGGGCCCCTAAACCCTTACTTTAGGGTTCAGGGTGTAGTCGGTGTAGTGGTTTAGGGTTTCGGAATTTAGGGTTGGGGGTTAAGGGTTTAGGGGGGTTTAGGCTTAATGCGGGTTTATTTCAAGCCCTGCGACGACAAGGCTGCTAAGCCCTGAAACAGGGTTTATGGTTTAGGGTTCAGGATTTAGGCTTTAGGGTTTAAACCCTTGACCAATAAGCCTTTGACAAGGACGTTAATTGGGATCCAAAAATATGTCCTGACATTGAATCCTTTAAAGTGGCTTCATTAGTCAAGGGTCTGCATACCTATGCATCCCCCTAAGCCCCCAAAGCCCTAAACCGTAAAACCCCCAAACCCTAAACCCTAAACGATTAAACCCTTAACCCCAAAGCCGTAAACCCTAAACCTAACCCTATAAATCTAACCCTAAACCCTAAACCCTAAAACCCTAATCCCTGAACTACTAAACCTAACCCCTGAACCGAAAAAACCCCAAACCTAAACTAACCTAACTCCTAAACCCTAAAACCCCAAACCTAAACCCCAAACCCTAAAACCCTAAAACCTAAAGCGTGCCGGAGCCCCGAAGGATAAGCCTCTGCTTTCCTCGAGCCCAAGTTGTAGAAGAGGTGGACCTCACTGGCCTCAGCCCAGAGAGCCCAATGCCCCTTAGGGTTTAGGGTTTAGGGTTTAGGGTTTAGGGTTTAGGGTTTTGGGTTTTGGGTTTAGGGTTTAGGGTTTAGGTTTCAAAGTATATTCCCTAATTAAGGAATATACCTTAAATCACAACATTAAGCCCCGTATAATTTAAGGTATATTGCTTAGTTAAGGAATGTAGCATAAATCATAATATGAAGCCCCTTATAGTTTAAGGTATATTCCTTAATTAAGGGGTTCTGGCCTCAGGTGGCATGTGTTCAGACTTCGCGGCACTAGAGTTTAGGGTTCGGGTTTAGGACCCTAAACCCTAAACCCTACCAAACCCCTCAACCCCTGGGCCGTAGAGGCTAAACCCCTAAACCCAAAACCCTTAAACCGTCTGGGAGGACTGAATCCCTAAACCCTAAACCCTAAACCCTAAGCCTGGGATGACTGAATCCTGAAGCCTCTAAGAACCCATCCCTGACCCCAACGGTTAGGTTTAAGGAAACGACAGGTGGGGAGTTTAGGGTATATAGGGTTTAGGGTTTAGGGATTAGGGTTTAGGGTTTAGGGTTTAGGAAACTACAGGTGGGGAGCTTAGGGTAGACAGGGCTTCTATAAGGCTTCTGTAAGGTAAGAGACTTTCTTTTAGGCTCCTGTAACGGTAACTACCCACCTGAAAATGTCCTAGATTAGGGTTTAGGGTTTAGGGTTTAGGAAGCGATCACACTCACTGAGGAGGTTCAGGCCGTCTTTGTCAAGATAAGTCGTGAGCAGGTTGCAGGCGTTCAACATGGTCTTGTTGATCACACTCCCGTTGAAGCTGACATTCTCACTCTGGAGTCTTTTCAAGCTGTTGCTGCCATAGTCGTTGCCAGTGGCACCCCAACTCAGGATGGCATTGATCTTCTTGGCGAAGAGGACGAAGGTATCACTCTGCTCGGCTTTCCTCAGCTTCTCGCTTGCCTCCAGCGACCAGTGCAGCATTCTGGGCAGGTGGCTTTCGATGTGAACCCTCAAAGTCACTGTCAAAGCCATTTCGTGGAGCTTCTTCACTCTCCCAGCCTTGTTTGCGATCAACGCCTCAGCTTTAGGGTTTAGGGGCCTTAGGGTTCAGGGTTCGGGGTTTCCAACCCTCAAAACTGTCCCCAACCCTAAACCCTAAACCCTAAAACCCTGAACCCTAAACTCTAAGTTAGGGTTTAAGCCTCAGGGTTCAGGGTTTAGGGTTTCCGACCCTCAAAACGGCCCTAAACCCTAAACCCTAAAACCCTAAAACCCTAAACCCTAAACCCTAAGTTAGGGCTTAAGCCTTAGGGTTCAGGGTTTAGGGTTTCCAACCCTCAAAACGGCTCAAGCTTTGCAGAAGCCAGTCCGAGACTGGGAGGTGCCCTGAGAGAGAGGGATGCAGAGTAAATATACTAAAGGTCGACTCAGTGAATCACAAACCCTAATTAAACCCCAACCCCCCAAACCTTAAACCCCTATACCCGTAACCCTTAACTGCGACACCCTTGAACCCCTAATCCCAAGCCCCCCAACCCTAAACCAGTAGACCCTAAACCGTGAAGCAGGCGCTTACAGCTCTTTGGTCCGCTCATTGATAACTGCTCCGGCCCCACATGATCCTTGACCCGCCAAGCTTGAGCCTGAACATACCCAAAAACCCACCACCCTAAACCTCAAAAGCCTGATCTACCTTAAGTGCCCTAATCCCCTAAACCCGTAACCCCTCAACCCTAAACCATAAACCCTGAACTCTAAACCCCGAAACCCTAAACCCCTAAACCCTAAACCCTAAACCCTAAACCCCTACACCCCAACCCCTCAACCCTAGAAATCTCCACACACCCCAAAGCCACCCGCAGCAAAAAAACTGCTCCATGTAGGCGCGCGGCCCCCTTCTCCGGCGTCACATCTACCGCTCGCTGAACCTTCCGTCGCCAAGTTAAAGGAAACTAGAGGTGGGGAGTTTAGGGTATATAGGGCTTCTATAAGGCTCCTATAACGGTAACTACCCACCTGAAAATGCCCTAGACCAAGCTTGCAAGGGAACCTAAAGCCTAAACCCCAAACCGTCTGGAAAGTAGATACCTTGAACTCAAAAAGGACCCACAGCTTCAGGGATCCGTATTCTGAAACCCAAACCTAATTCCGGAACGCCGGGTAGCGCCTAGAGCCCAAAAGGTTCAAGGGTCTAGAGTTCACCTTTGGACCATGAACTCTGCAACGCTTCCTACACCCCTTAAACCCGAGTTTCGCAACCAGAGGCTGAGAAAAAAAACGAGAACATCGCTTCACACCGAAACAGTTGTAACGAGAAACAAGCTGAACGAAACACACACACACACACAATAAGACTCAGCATAGAACTCGGTGTTGCAAAAATACACTTGATCAAGGTCACTCCAGTTCACTTGTTCAGAATCCCAGGTGCAGCCTATTTACCAAGTTTCCTCTGATGTTAAGTTCTCTAAATCCTCAAGCCCCTAAAGACACTAATCCAAGGACTTTAGGAGGGACCCCTAATAGGGACCCTTAATCCCTTTACCTTAAATAATAATTGTATAGTCCTTTCTCACTGCCATGGGGCACCATCGGCATCCCGTGGGCGACGCCAAGAACTACGGACAAGCTGAATAACCGAAGTATAGTCCTTATATACCCCTTATATAGCCAGGTAGTCTCCATATTAACCCCAATAACCTACAAGGGTCCCTATTAAGGGTCCCTCCTAAAGCCCTTAGAACTAAACCGGAGACCACTAGCTCATCTATGAATCCTGCATTGTCAACCCTAAACCCTAAAGCCTAAACCACCGCAGAGTCCTACCGCACGGGGTCCCCACAGCGAATGCAGAAGTCTCGTGGACGAGGGTCAGTACCTAAGACCAGGTATAGGGTTTAGAGGGTGTTGGTGTAGGGTTTAGGACTGTTTACCCTAAACCCAAAACCCAACACCCTAAACCCAAAACTCTAAG